ACATACAGAAGAAGTAACAAGTGCTGTGAATTTACATCTACAGAACAGAATAACAATATACAAAACAATAGACTAGTGTACATACATACATATATATGTCATACCTTTAAAAATACTAACAAACCCCATCTGTTTATAAGTTCTGTACCAAAATTCAAAATGAGCAGTAAGAGAGGTCACACCCAGGTTTGATGATTTGTTTCCAGATTCACGAACTCAAAAATGTCTTCCATGGCCATCACTTATTGCATGGAAAGGCTGCAAAACAAAATCAGAAAGAAACAAGCCCATCAGGCAAAGTACAGGGGAAACCAATTGCAGACTCCCAAAAGTCTTCTCCCAACGGAATCACAAAGGATGGGTTTAATTCCTTCAGCAATTGGTTTTGACATGTGTGAAGTGTTGCCCAATAAGGAAACTCAATTGAGACTCAGTGCTTAAGGTTTCGTTTTGGTTACTGGTTACATAGATATCCCCTGTCTGGCATATACCAAAATTCCAGACTCCCAGGAGGAAAGCATATATTCAAGATAAACTACATTGTTTGTTTGTTTGTTTGTTTATTAAAACTACACTGTTGATTGTTTGTAAAACAGTTTAGGCACAGTGAGCTACTCTTATCAGCTAGGGAATGATGGGGGTACTTCTGAAATCCAAGTTTGCAGATGCCAATTAAAGCCCAAACTTGCAATTGTGCCTTTCTTTCTTTTCTTTCTTGCCTTCCTTCCTTCCTTCCTTCCTTCCTTCCTTCCTTCCTTCCTTCCTTCCTTCCTTTCTTTCTTTCTTTTCTTTCTTCTTTCTTTCTTTCTTTCTTTCTTTCTTTCTTTTTAATGATTTCAGAGAGGAAGGGAGAGATAGAGAGAGATAGAAACATCAATGATGAGAGAGAATCATTGATCAGTTGCCTCCTGCATGCCCCGCACCGGGGATCAAGCCTGTAACCCAGGAGTGTGCCCTAACCAGGAATTGAACTGTTATCTTCTGGTTCATAGGTCAACGCACAACCATTGAGCCACACCAGTTGGGCACAAAATCAGGCCTTTTGAAGGATAGTGTATCTTAGCCTTGCTGTTGATGACTCTTTTCTGCACAGTAGTTAATAGCACAGTTTTATAATCAGGTGCCTTTGGGCTCATATCCACATTCTACCATTGATTCTGATGTGATCTTGAACAAGTTATCTAAGCACTTTGCACACCTCAGTTTTATCAAATGTTACGTAACTTTAATTAGGCAATTATATCATCAAATTGCCACAAAAATCATATGTAATAATTCACAATTATTAGCACACTAACTGCAAAGAGTAGTAACTCAATAAATAATGATGAATATTTGGCATGATGAATAACAGTATATGTAGCAGCTACTTTCACAAAGCTTAGAATAGAATGTATGAACAAGATTCAAACAGATTAAATGAAGACTCAATAATTGTGTATATGTGTATTTGTTACCAACTCTAAGTGCAACTGGAGTTCTCAGAGTGGGCAAACTCTGTAATTTATAAGAACCCACAGAAATTTCTTTACCAGAATAAGTATCCTTTTGGTAAATATGGAGCTACACGAAGAAAAACAGAGGTAGCTGACAGAAGTAGCTTTCAGAGGACAAGGAAGTAGTGGGAATACAGGTGACAGTATCAAGATCCTTACACTGCTCTCTGAGGAAACTCTCCTATACAACTTCATAGTTAACACGCATGTGGCCTTGACACTAAAAATTCTTCGATTGGAAAGCAGGATCAGAAGAAATTAGATACAGTCTGATACTTTTGTGAATTTTTTGCAAATAAGACATTATTATTCTTGCATGTCATTTTTAATAACTGCTTGATGAGCAAATAGAACAAAGATTTTTGATGAACAGCAACTGCTGTACTTAGATATGGGCTCAGATATAACTATCAGTAGGTACAGAGTTTTCTTTTTTGATATAACTAATGATTAAACATCATGATTAGTTGAAAACACATGCTGAGTACAAACTTCCAGAATGATTGAATTAATAAATGAATGAATGAATGAATGAGATCAGTCTATAATTAGGCCTATGATTAATCAAAAGGGGGCACCTGGGAAGCTAGCTCATGCTAAATAAAAATCACATGTGGTGAGAATCCGTTTTTGTTATTAATTTTATATTTCTTGTTAGTGACAATAAACTAAGCTGCTTGTAAGATAGAGAGATAATGGACGGTATCATTTTACATCTAATGTTAGATGCCTCCTCAAGCTAATATTAAGCATTAAAAATTCTTTACAGCCCTAATCGGTTTGGCTCAGTGGATAGAGCATCTGTCTGCGGAGTGAAGAGTCCCAGGTTCAATTCCATTCAAGGGCATGTACCTTGGTTGCGGGCACATCCCCAGTAGGGGGTGTGCAGGAGGCAGCTGATCGATGTTTCTCTCTCATCGATGTTTCTAACTCTATCCTTCTCCCTTCCTCTCTGTAAAAAAATCAGTAAAATATATTTTTTAAAAATTATTTACAAAATGAGTGTATTTTACTTTATATCATAATTTAAATTTTGACCAACAACTATTACAAAGTAGACATATTTTATGACATTTTATATGTATGAACAAGATTCAAACAAATGAAATGGAGAGTAAATAATTGTGTGTGTGTGTGTGTGTGTGTGTGTGTGTTACCAACTCTAAGTGCAACAGGAGTTCTAAGAGTGGGCAAACTGTAATTTATAAGAACCCACAAAAGCTTCCTTGCAGAATAAGTATCCTTTTTGTAAGTATTATGGAGCCATACCAAGAAAAACGGAAGTAGCTGACAGAAGTAGCTTTCAGAAGACAAGGAAGTAGTGGAGTATGGAGCTTTGATTATTTCTAAATAATCACTTATGAAGTGTTCTTGTTGTGTGTTTTTTGGCCAGGAAAAAGATTATAGAAAAGTTATGTAAATGTATTCTATATAGATATCATTTAACTAAAGTATATAGCTTAAAATAAAATTATTTGTTAAGATTATAACTCTTACTGCATTTTGACTAATCCCAATGTCGAAACTATCTAAGCCATTTCAAAAAAAAAATGCCAGCACTTCTAAATGTTTTCTTTAGTGACTTTCTTTAGTTAATCACAGTGATGGGAAAGCTTTGATGTAGTTATCCGAACATTTAGATATAATTATTTCACATACATTGCAAATTTAGTTGTGATTCACAGCCTATGTTCCAATTTAAGTTTACACATTTTGGGCAAACAGAATTATAAAATGTAGTAAACCAGCTAACTCATTTTTTAAATTATCTAGGCACCACATAGAAAATGGTATACATAATATTAGTGCTACTGAGAAGAGATCATTGTTATTAATCCAAATAATTGGTAAATGCCTTTGAATTTATTCTGATTGTCTAGTTTTTATCAAAGCACCCACCACAGTTCTTAAAATAATTTCTTGATTATTTCTTTCTCTGGACTATAATGCATTGAGGATTAACTCATCCTTGGCATGTGAAAACTGGCTCAAGAAATACTGTATTAAACTAATTTGAGTTATGTTGAATTAAATTGAGTTAGTTAAATTATTTTAAGAAAAGTAGTGTCCCTAGTTTCAGATGAAATATAATTTTAAGTGAAAAATGGAATGTCAAATTAAATCATTTACACATTGACAAGTTTTATAAACTAGTATGGATTTTCATTGACTCTAAGCCTCAATTGTTAAATTGTATATTATTTTTAATATTTATTGATTGATTTTAGAAGGATTTGTTGTTCCACCCATTCATGCATTCATTGGTTGATACCCATATGTGCCCCGCTAGAGATCAAACCCACAGCCTAGGTATATCTGGCGAGGGCAGTTGTACCATTATTTTATAAAATACCATTAAAAAAATGATGTGCACTAAAATAAGATGCAGCACTTTATTAGTATTTATAACTTTAATTTTATAATTACCAAAAGAGCTTTTAAAGACATACTTACTTTAATTTAATCATTCTTGAATATTTTATGCATATACACACAAATACACACATATATCCAGAAAATGTACATTTAAAAAAATTGAGCAGGGCATTTCAAAACCTTCTTTCCAGGCAGTATTTGGCTCTCCTAAATTAGTTTTTGAGTCCAAATCCTGATGTTCATGTTTAACGTAAGAGTTTGTTCTCCTTGTCCATGAGGGAGCACATTTTAAAGGAGAAATCCACCATTTTTTTCTGGTAATTCCATCTAAACTACAGCGTCCATTCTGCAAGTTTGGACTGGTACTTTCTTGGCCCTATCAGAATGTGTCAAAAGAAAAATTTTTCAGAAAACAATGAGGATTTCATATTCCATTTTAAATGGTCCTTAAATGGTTTGATTAAAGTATGAGTTAATGTGAGTTATTCTTATTGCCCAACCAAGCGACAGAAATAACATACTAGCACAGTTTAAGCATTCATGGGCCATGATAGCTACATTACTACCTATGACTGCACCCTGATAAACAGGAATTGTTCAGAGATCATCAAGTGTAAGATATCCTTATTTCTAATACAATAAGATATGGAAACAACTGGTGTCTTAGAATCAAAGAAACAATATTAAAGAAAAAGCATAATGGGTTCTAATTTAGAAATTGAACTCTAAGAGCATGTGTGTGTGTGTGTGTGTGTGTGTGTGTGTGTGTACAGTATTCTAAAAAAAAAATTCTAACACAAGTCATTTATATCATGGCTAGATTTTTGTTACATAAATTTTCCTGCATTTACTAAGATATTTAGACAATTTATATTTTGTCTCAAAAGTTGAATGACTATGATCATAAACTATATATTATGTAGTTCTCATGTGTTATTTTATGTGCTTTTACATGTATGATTAAAGATAACCAGTCAAACTGATTGGAATGTACTGAAGTCTTCATTATATGCTCTGTGTACTGCTGTTTTTCTTTGATCATTAAAATGTGCATTCTCAGCTTTCAAAATTAACAATGTTAAAAATGAACGACCCAGCAACTGAATATTTCTTAATCTCTGTACTCAGGTCCCATAAGCAGTATTTTGGTGAATAAATACGGCAGCCGGCCAGTGGTGATGCTAGGAGGTTTGCTGTGCTGTGTGGGATTGGTCGCAGCCTCTTTCAGCACCAGTGTGATAGAGCTCTACGTCACTGTGGGATTCATTGGAGGTAAGTTCTGTCTTCAGCTTAGTATTTTAACACTCATGTTGCTCACAAAGCTCTCTAAAATACAGGAACAATAGAGCATTCTCATTGTTTCTTTGAATTTTATTTTATATCAGGTACGATCTTGAATTATTTTCATCTAATACATTGAAATACTAGCTATGGAATGTCCAATCAAAATTATTTCAGGTAATGGGAGAAAATGATTCATCAGATACATAATGCTCTATCATATAAATCTCAAAAACAAAAGAGCGTTGGCCTGTTTTTGTCATTTTACCCTTTACTCTTCAGCCAGTTAAGATGGCTGACAGAAGCTTTCTGGCATATAAATAGCTTCATTTAAAAAAATGTATTTTTCAATACTATATTTTTCATCAAATATAGTATTTACAATATATGATATTTTACACAATAGGTTAAAAATGGTGGCAAAGAGTTATTTTCTGGATGCACTGACCTAGCTTTAACAATAGAATTATTGTATTCTGTTTATGGTGGAGCTCTGTGTTGGTGCCCCTTTGTTTCCTTCCTAAAATGATTCTGGTATAAGCTCCAGAAGGCACATTTGCCACTGAACACAAATATTTTCAAATGACGTCCTAGCATGTGGTTATAGTTGTTTCTCATGCAAAATGTCTCTGGACTTAAACTGACCTGAATATGTACATTTGGAAAAAACAATGTTTATTAGCCTCAATAATAAATTGAATCAAACAAATCTGTACTCAGTGGTAAGAAAAATTAGACTTCAATATATAAAGAAATTGAATCTTTTTCTTATGCCCACAGATAACAAGGTAGACATATTTCTCTTTTTATTGTGATTTTTAGGTCAGTCTAACCTTGCACTTATGTGTCATGTGGTGAGAAAAATTTGAAGCATTAAAGCCTACAACATAGTGATGTTAAATCCTTCTCTTTACTTCCTATCAACACCTCTCTCTCTCTTTTCTTGGTATGGTAAAACATCTTTTGTGAGTGAGAGAATCTTACTCTATCCAAAACATTGCCAGAATGGAGAGAATGCCCTTTCCTTTGTGCTGAAATGCCATGCATTATATTTGACTATGGAAGTAAGGCTAAGTTTACAAGTAGATGTATTAAGGAAAAGGTGATCTGGGAATTACTGCACCACAAATAGCAACAGTATTATAAAGGTGGGGCAAAAACAGGTTTACAGTTGTGAGTGTGTGAAACAGTTTATTCTTGTATTATTATTTATTAATTATTGTAATACAAATAATTGCAAACCTTACTTTTCCCCCACCCTGTATATTATTCTAACTTTAATTCCATTCCTTTGGGTCTTGGAGGCTTTGGTGCTGCTAGAGTCAACCATTAAGTACACCTATAAAAAAATTATCGTAAGTTATTGTCAGCCAATACTTTTTGGTATCTGAAATCAGACAAGTTTTTCAGAAACCTGACTCAGCACACATTAGCTGTGTGATCCTGGGTAAATTAACCTTCTTATGCCCCATTCTCTTTGTCTTTAAAATGAGGGAAATGATAGCGCTATTATTTGGGAGGTCTTGGAATGATTAAATGAAAAAGTTAACATGGAGTACAGAGTGCCCAGCATTTTTATTACTTTTAAATAAATATTAGCAAATAACAATCATCACAATGTCATTATATAATATCTCACAGTTCTAGAATTTAGTTGATTTTGGCAACCGTATTTTTGTTGTTAAGGGAATTAAAGCTGAAGAAGTCTAAATGTTTTGCCAAGTAGCACACATAGGTAAGTAGTTGAGGCAGATTTAGATTTTTTTTTATTTCAAATCTCGTGCTTGTTTTGCCATGCCAGAATAGGAAATAGATGGCCACTCTCTCTTAAGGAGAACTTGGATTACCATCTGAAAGTAAAATTCCAGGTGACAGAATGGCGACTGGGGGAGAGGAGATGGCATAGGATGAAGAAACTTAGCACACAATTTCAAAACACAACTTGGGCCCTGGCCAGGTAGCTCAGGTGGTTAGAGTGTCCTCCCTGTGAGCCAAGGTTGTGGGTTCGATCTCCAGTCAGGTCACATGCAAGAATCAACCAATGGATGCATAAATAAGAGGATTCAACTCATCCTGCACTTGAGCTAGAAGCTCATGACAATGTTATTCTTTGTAGTGTGTCTCTCTCTCTCTCATTATGTGTGTGTGTGTGTATGTAAAAGTTAAAAAGAAAAATACATTGAAAACAATTCCTGAGTTTTAATTTTGGCTCTCTCTCTCTCTCTCTCTCATATGTGTGTGTGCGTGCGTGTGTGTGTGTAAAAGTTAAAAAGAAAAATACATTTGAAAACAATTCCTGAGTTTTAATTTTAGTTCTTCCACTTTCAAGCCACTGACTATAGGCTGGTCAGTTTTATTATTTGTATGTTGGGTCTCTCTACACTTATTCTGCATATCTCGCAGGTACGGCAGAGGGCAGCGGTAGAATCAGGGAGCATACTGCCCTGTTACTCTCCAAGCATGCTCTTCGTTCCTCCCAGTCAGCGGACCCTCCTCCTCATAGAAAACATTTGTATTGTTTGCAATAAGTATTTGTACTCAGAACTGAGTGTCCGGAATCTAAATACTTAACTACTTGGCAGTACTGTCTCAATTACATAGATTAGTAAATGCAGAATTTGTACTTCTATAACTCTTAAAATAATATGGAATAATATATAGGTGAAGAGTGAAAGAGAGGTAGTTTATATCAATCAACTTTGTGTACTTTTTAAACAAACTTTTGCATTACTATTGCTAAATGGTACCGTGGCGAGCTATAAGAAAGAACTTTCAAAGGCGATATTTAGCACTGCCAAGAAGCGCCTAGACAGCAGGGACTTGTGACTTATATGAACAATAACCTCTACTCCCTGAAATAAGACTATGTCTCAAGCCCCCAAATTATCTGCTTTTTAGTTAACACGCACATGCATCTATATTCATGAAATGTGGAATGTGAGGATGGAGAGCATGGAACTAATGACATGAATTTATTATTCTTTTTTATTATTTGCATGGCTTTGAAGAAATATCTCTGGGGAGACCTAAGATTGCTTATAAGTGACAAAACTTTTAGTGTGTTCAACTGAAAAGAAACCATTCATGTTTTAAATGCAGTCTTTCCCAAAAGGAAATAAATCTATCATTATATATATGTATGATATATGTGTGTGTGTGTTTGTATATATGTATGTATATCTATATATGTATATATATTTATGTAAATATGAAAGGAGATGAAAATCTGTGGAACTAAGTGATTGCAATTATAAGAACTAATAATTTTGTCCTAGTTTCAACCTAGTCTCTGATTTTGGAAACATCAGTAAAAATTTTTGGTTTTATTTTTGTGCTTTAAAATGTAAGGAATATGAAACCATCATACATACCAAGTGTCCAGTTATGAGAAACTTTTTATGTGCCATTCTGTTGATATTGATGATGAACAAAAATCCCCACCTGCCATTGCCTTTTGAGTCCTGCCTTACCCAGTTGACTGTAAGTTTTGAAGACTAACTTCTTTGTGAGTGGCATAACGTGTTTGTGTTTTCCTTCCTTCTGTTTTGTTCTCTGCAGGTTTAGGTCTAGCCTTCAACCTGCAACCCGCCCTAACAATCATTGGCAAATACTTCTATAAGAAACGCCCCATGGCGAATGGGCTCGCCATGGCCGGAAGCCCTGTTTTCCTAAGTACATTAGCTCCTTTCAACCAGTTCCTTTTTAATATGTTCGGCTGGAAAGGAAGCTTCATGATTTTGGGAGGCATATTGTTGAATGCCTGTGTGGCTGGGGCTCTCATGAGGCCCGTTGAATCCAAACTAAGTACTAAGGCTCAAAATAAGATGGGCGAAACCGAGCTGGAGTCGGGTGTGAAAAACAGCCACAAGAAGCAATCAGCCTGGGAAAAAATTAATAACTATTTAGATTTCTCCCTTTTCAAGCATAGGGGTTTTTTGATATACTTATCTGGAAATGTCATTATGTTTCTAGGGTTTTTTGCCCCCGTTATATTCTTGGCTCCATATGCTAAAGACAAGGGGATTGATGAGTACTCTGCGGCCTTCCTGCTGTCCGTTATGGCTTTTGTTGACATGTTTGCGAGGCCTGCAGTAGGATTCATTGCCAACACCAAACTTGTTCGGCCTCGAATCCAGTACTTCTTCAGTTTTGCAATTATGTTCACGGGAGTGTGTCATCTCTTGTGCCCATTGGCAGAGGACTACATAAGCCTGGTGTTTTATGCTATATTTTTTGGCCTTGGATTTGGGAGTGTTAGCAGCATCCTCTTTGAAAGTCTCATGGACCTTGTGGGTGCTCAAAGATTCTCCAGCGCCGTGGGACTCGTCACCATCGTGGAGTGCTGTCCAGTTCTCCTCGGCCCTCCTCTGGCTGGTAAGATTTCTCATCCAGGAAAGCAAAAAGCATCAAATCAATAGCTATTGACTGAGATGTTCTTTGTAATACATCACATGCTTTGTGATTTAAAAAATACGAATAGCCTGAAGGACGGAGGGTGTGTTCATTTTAGGGTTTATTATGTGTTTTTGAACTTCATAATTAGTTGAATTTAGATCTAAATTTGTTTCAAACGCTGGACCCATGAACTTAAGAAGTTAAGTTAAACGGGTAATGAGTTGCATAATGTTTAGGTTTTTTACCCATACCAGTTGTTTTGGTGTTTTTAAAAATGTTTAATGAAAAGGTCACTTTTTAAATTTTATCATTGGTGATAGATTTCTTTTCCATCTATATTAAAATTAGTCAAAAATTTAAAATAGCTCTCTCAAAAAGTCAGGATCTATTTTCTTATTGGTTATATTGATACGGAATTTGTTGCCAGTACATGCCTAAGGGAGGAATACTTTTATAATACCCACTGATAGGGTATATATATATATATACACACACACATATATATATATCAATAAAAGTCATTTTTATCAGACACTTATAGTTCATGTGTATACATTATAAAGACTATATTTCAATTTTAAGATCTAAAATTTTTTTAATATGCTTACAAAAGCATCTGTGTAAATAACCCAGTAAGGACTCTAAGACGCATGTATAAATTCATTTTGAAGTTTAGACTTTACTTAATTTTTGTTTATAACATATTAATGTTATAAATATTAAATGCTTTTTGTGGACCAGAATTTTTCAGTAACCACTCTATATTATTTTGGTTAATACTAAACTTGTATTCACGTAGCCTCCTAGCCTGCCCCCTGGTGGTCACAGTAAATGCCGGGCTAAATGTAAAATTTTCAATGTATTTTAATCAGTTTACGAAAGGTTTCTTACATGACATTAAGGAATCATTTTGAAAGTAGGAAAATTTATCTTTAATTTACCAGCTTAAGACACTGACTTTTTACCTTTGCTTTTTCACTTGGTTAGGAATGAGCTGTGTATCTGTGTACTTGCTGTCCACCATGCTTGTCCTCTAGTAAACTGCACAGTTGTTTTGGGTGGTATATCCCTCAGTGTGGATGTAGCATGGCACCAAAACAATTTTTAAAAACAGTTAAAACCAGTCAGTCTATTTATCAGCCAATGGATTTTATTTTATAAGACAAGTACAATTGGCCTATCTTTTCATACAGAAGCAGTTTTACCAAATGGGTTTTAGAAGCCTATTCGTTAGCAATAAAATTCTTAGTATCAACAGAGAAAATTGTTATTTCAGTAGCCATGGTGGGATGATAAAAATAAAAAATAAATAAAAAAGGTCCACAGATGTAGTGGGTGGGCTTTTGGGATGAAAATGAAAGAATCTGATTTGGCTGAAGTTCTCCGTGGGCTGAGAACCTACAATATGTTTTTTGTTTGTTTGTTTTGTCTCTTAGGTAAATTGGTGGATGAAACTGGAGAGTATAAATATATGTATATAGCCTGCGGGGCTATTGTGTTCCTAGCAAGTGTGTGGCTGCTCATTGGTAATACTATAAACTATAGATTGCTTGCAAAGGAAAAGAAGTTGGAAAAAGCAAAGGCGGAAACGTATAACAAGCCTGAGTCCCGAGAATCTGAACCTTTGAACGCATCTAAACAACGTGATGTTGAAGTCAAAAGCACGAGACCAGGGCGCCATCTCTCAGAAAGAGAAACTAATATATAGCAAGAATCACACCTCTGATTTCAGTGTTTGTGACTTTTTAAAAAATATGTTTTTGTATTGATTTTTTAGACAGAAAGGAAGGAAGAGGGGAAAGGAGATAAAAACATAGATGAGAGAGAAACATTGATTGGCTGTCTCCTACTGAGGATCCAGCAGGCAACCCGGGCATATGCCCTGACCAGGAATCAAACCAGCGACCTCTTGGTGCATGGGACGACGCTCATCCACTGAGCCACACCGGCCGGGCCAGTGTTTATGACTTTCTTATGAGAATTTTTTTTTTTCCCTCCAAAATATTGGAAAGGATTTTAGTTTAAATAAAACATCATAATGAATGACGGAGATGAGATGTCCCTCAATGGCAGATTTTGAATGTTTCCTTTTTAAAAGTTATATTTTGAGATTATGCATATAAAGAATCCATGCAAGGGTTTTATTTTCATACATGACTCTGGTTGTGGTGATTAAAATAATTTCCAAATCCTCCAGTGACTTCCAGTCTTGATTATAGAGATCTGAATTCCAAACCCCTGGTTTAAGTAGTTAGAAGGAATATGTTTAATCCTATAAAAATACCCTCTCCACATTTCATTTTTTAAGATATTAAAGTGTGAAATGGAGCTAAAGGCAAATGAATTTCCACTCACAGTATCTGGAGAATAAAAAACAAATAAGTTCAAAAAGAACATTATCACCATACTATTTTTTTTCTTTTTACTTAAAAACTATCCATGGAGAAAAAAAGATGTGTGTTATATTTGCATACAACTGTACATGTGGATTTTAAAGATAAGAACATAAGAACATGGGTGGTGGAAATGAGGTGATCTTAATTTGAAAATACAACTAACTTTTTTAAACCGTAAGATTTGATTAGCCCCTGCACATGCTTTCTTGGGGGGGTGTTGGTGGTGGGGGGCATTAGTACCTGGTAGTAGAGAATAGCATCCTCAAATTAAGTTTTAGAATTTTTACCTAATATGTAAACTAAGTTAAAAGCCTAAATTACCCTCAAGCAATGGACTGCGTCCATTGATTTTAAAAGGGATTTTTAAAAAGATTTTTTATTGTTTTTTAGAGAAAGAGAAAGAGGAGACAGAGAGAGAGAGAGAGAGAGAGAGAGAGAGAGAATGGAATATAGAGCTTGCAACCTTCAGAGCAGGGATGATGCCCAACCAACTGAGTTGCACAGGTCAGGGCTAAAAAGGATTTTTGTTAGTAATCCAGAAAGTAATAACCAGGGATTTTATTTTAACCAGAACTCATCTGAGCTATTTTCAGACTGAGACAGCAAGTAGAATCAACCCAAATCCTGGTGGATAGGTTTACAGATAAGCCAAGTTGTAATTTTTCCCAACACGCAGTGGTGATCAATAGGTTACTGTTATGAGTAATGCATTTGAGAAAACTAAGAGTGCAGGGGTGCTTATAATGAGCCCTCTAAATTCTCATTTCCTCCCTTCCCCAAAAATGTAAAAGCAAAAACCAAAAATCACAAATAGGCTTTTTACTCAGCTGCTGAAAATGCCTCATATTATAGGGATGTCGGCACTTGAAAATTCTGCCCCCTACTGACGGGGCTTCCTGCTGCCTCAGAACTTACCTGGTAACTATTAGCTAAACCAGGAGACTGTTACAAAACAGCTGCTAGGAGGCTGCGCGTGACCTGGGATATGCACTTGTGAAGGGCAGGGATCGTGTATAACAATAGCAAAAAGCTTGCAATCCTGCGGCCCAGATTAATTTCGCAGTTTCTCGTTTTCATGGCGATGTGAAAACATCTGGGAACCTGCAGCACTCTTGAATACAGTGGCACATGATAGTTTTCTGTACATTCAGAACTAGAAATACCATTTTGAGTTATAAAGCGCTTGTAAACAAGAAAGAAATTGTGCTTTACGACTAAAGGTATAAATATTTTCGTCTACAGCTCTGAAGTTTAAGTTAAGACCATGATTAGTAAAAAGCATGTAGTGCTTGATTATTGAAATGATATCACTCTCAAGATGTCAAAAGGAATTAGCTGGGGTTTTTGTGTGTTTTATTAATTGCGGTAGAGGCAGGTGCTGTTCTTATCCCCTCAAAGATTGTACCTGTATATCAAGCTTTGGTGATAGCTTACATGAAGGATGTAATTTGTAAAATGTATGCGCTGTTTAAGCATGCGGTTCATATTTAGGAAGCTATATAAAATTCCATATTTCATTTAACGATCACTGTTTGCATAAAAAAGAGGTATTTGTATTTTTCAAATATTAAGTGAAACGATATGTGCCAATACCATCAGTAAATTAATCAGGGAAATGTGGCAGTATATGGCTGTGGGTTTTTATTACTATTATTATTATTATTTTCATTTTATCCAATCTTGAGTCTTGAATGAGCTATTTTCATATTATGAGTGCTTTTCTATGTAACTCTGATTCGTCATAAGCAATGCAACATCGTAAATTAGTCACTCTCCAGTCTTCAACATTTCCCAAAGTGTCTTGAATTCTCTGGAGACACACTTGTAAACGAATATAGATATTAAACTCAGGGGTAAGGAGAATAAATAGCAGAATAGTGATCATGGGTTTTAGGTCTAAGGCTATAGTCCTTTTTATCATCAGCTGGTAGAGACGTGCTGGTGGGTGGCATTCCAGGAGTTCTCTCCACACAAAAAGGTTTATTCACATACTGACGAATTTATTGTCAAAAAACAATTCATATTTATTTTATTGCTCCTTGGTCATCTTCATTATACTTTCATTTCTGGCACTGATTATATCAAATTGTTTAAAAAAAGAAAGAGAAGGAAAATTGTGCATTCAGAGTGCATGATATGATGTATACAGTCATATCTGGCAGTGGCAATGCAGCAAGTTACAAATACGTACACATAGCAATGCCCATACATACATATTGAAAATTTAAATCAGAGTACACTGGAAATAGTGGTATAAATTCTCATACAGGAGGCAGAATTATTCCAGGGCAAAATAAGTTTTTCTACTTGTGCACTCTTCCTGCTCCCTTGAACTTGTTAAAATATTTATTGACTTAACAGAATCTTTCAAAGATTGAAAAGAGAATATTAACTTAGAACATTCATTATCATTTTGCCACATAATAATGATCTTTCCTGGTCCTTTTTAGGTCTAAACAGCACACATTTAAGAGGCAGGGAGTCAGGCTTTGGTGTACTTCATGTTGGAAGACTTGATGTTTTCTCAGTGTAACTTCACATGACACATAAGTTTCACTTCCTTAGTACAGAGTTCCAACCACCTTATCTACACACACACACACACACTATTCCCAGACACTAGGAAATAACTAAAATCATTAGGTTTGATACACTTGAATGTGCACTTTAGAAATCTAGGTATTTTTTACTCATCCTTCTCTGGCTGCACATGACAACTGAGGATAAAGAAAAAAAGACCATAAGATGTATTAATGTAAGTTGATGTTATAAAATATAAAAATAGCCTTAATCATTAGTTGAAACTTATTTCTTATCAAAAATACATTTTCAAAAAAAAACACACCCCAAAACCTCTCATTTGTATAAAATTTTAGGCTTAATTTAAAAAAAAAAAAAAGGTGACTGTTAGGCTCAATTTAATAGGAAGAAAGGATGCAAAGTGGGACGGGATCTAGTCTTTATGTATTATGCATTTTGCCTACCTAATATTTTTTAATATTCAAGCCAAATCATGAGTAGAGGCTATTGGCCTGATATAATAGCTGACTGAAACAAAACCAAAAAAAAACACAAAGAAATTCAGCAAATTACCAAAGATAAAAGGTAATATGTGACAGAATCAGAACTAAAACTCAGGTTTATCTAAAAGCAGAAAGAGCCCCTAGGATGTTTACTACCATGCTGCCTCCTAATAGAAGGTATAGAAGCTAGATACAATATGGATACAACAAATTTAAACCTTATGCAGGGAAACCAATTAGGTTTAACTTCAATTCATATTATGATTTATATAGTGTTTGTTAGAGGCTGCATTTGCTATAACCTGATTACATAATTTCAAGTTGGCTGTTTTTCTAGTCAATGCACCTTATCCTAAATCATGGCAATGATTATGTAATATCCATAATTATTTTAATGTAACTTTTCATAAAATTAATGACATAGTTGTATGATTCAAGCATAATATATTTTCCCTGAGGTTGAGTTTAGAAGAAAAAAGTTATTTTCTTTATGGATAAGTAATTCCCATATTGGTAGCTACTTATTATGACTCAAGAATTAAAAGTACTTATTATGAAACATTATTTTCAGAATTATGATCCTTATTTACAAGATTATCCTAAATTACAAAAAAAAAACCCCACTTTAAAAAGTTTGTGATATATCAATAACTTGGTTCATCTATGCAATATATATATACTTCTGTTATTTTCTTCAATGGCCCCTATACCCTTAACTCATTTTTCAGGTTTTCCTGAACATCTATATCGTCATTTTTTTCCCTGTTCCCTTTGACCTATAGACAGAACAAGTGCCATTGCTTTTTCCCTCATTCCAAACTTTTGGCATGCATGGAGTACTGCTCTCCTTAGCTTTATTTCAGATGGTGCACTTCTAATGTCTTCCATCCTTCACAGGGTCACCCACGCTGCATCTGGTCTTATCTGTGGTTAGCAGCAGTGGCCATATTCCTGGGGCCAACAGTGTATACTTTTGGCAATTACCACTGATCCTTCAAATAAGGGAACTTGTGTGATTGTACATTCAATCCATATATATTTGAATGCGATTTTTAAAAATCTACAAAAATTGATCTTTTTGCGCTTGGCCCTTATTCTCCTGGATGTTTCTAATTTTCTTAAAGTGCCTGACAACTTGGAGAAACCAGACTTACCTTCAAACATAGCAGCATCACATCATCCTGTAGGTCCTTTCAATCCAATGACATCATCCATACAGCATACCGAGTAGATTCCTTACCACAACAGTTCACAATACCAAAGAGCATCACAATGATTGAGATAAAATAGGAATTAGTCTTTACTCATGTCACTTCTTTTTAGGGTTGGGATTCTACATGTCAATGTGCATGACCTCCTGTACGAGAAATCGACTTCAAAACCAACAG